GCATATAGGCATAACCCATTGACTCAGACAATAGGGTGGGGAAGGCCTGGGGTGGGGGAAGAGGGCAGGCTGACAGAAGTCAACAGTTGAAAAAGGGGACATATGTAATACTTTAAAAAATAATTATTTTTTTAAAAAAAGTCTTGATAATGGGGTCTTAATCCTTGAAATCCCTTCGTGACAAATTCCATGCATGGGGTTGGGCACTGCCCACTGTTTGGCTCTTCATTTTCTGCATTTTGTGGGTGGAGACACCCACCCCTGACCAAAACCTTCCATAGCCAATGTCCCTGCATTTGGACTGGGTTACAGTAAAACCCTCCTGGCTGAGAGCCATTGCAGCTGTACGATCATTCTCCCTCCTCTGTGTTGATTTTAAAGTTTTAAAATCTTGGAGGACACCTCAATGTAGCACCCAATTTTTTAAAATATATTTTTACTGATTTCAGAGAAGAAGGGAGAGGGAGAGAGAGAGAAAAACATCAATGATAAGAGAGAATCATTGATCAGCTGCCTCCTACACGCACCCCAACTGGGGATGGACCCCGCAACCTGGCATGTGCCCTTGACTGGAATCGAACCCGGGACCCTTCAGTCTGCAGGCCAATGCTCTATCCACTGAGCCAGACTGGCTAGGGCTGTAGCCCCAAATTTTAACTACATCTGTCAGCTGTGAGTACCTGGGTCCCCAGCCCATAGCAAATTAAAAAATAGAAATAAACTGCTAAAGACAGACATCCTGGTAATAAAAGTTATAATTAAACTATCAGATGCCTTTATTAGAGAGAACGGAACTCAGCAAACAGCTGGTTGGGACCGTGTAGACGAGGCCATTGGGGACGGGTCCTAGCCTTTGAGTCGCCCACCTGACTGGGGACGCTCCTTTCTGTGGGGCCTCTGCTGGGCACTGCGACTCTCCCGGGACAGTTTTCATTGTGAGAGTGATCTGTGACTTAGACGGTAACTTTTCTTTTAAAAGATGAGGAAAGTTCATCTCCAGGAGGGTGAGTGACCTCTCCAAGTCGCACATGTGATTGAAAGAGTAAAACGCAGTCCTAGGTTTATGTCATTCTTAATTTGTGTTCCTGTTCACCTTTTAGTACATGTTCGAGGTCTGTAATAGTGATACTCTCTGCTGAGGGCAGCGGTTCTCAACCTGTGGGTCGCGACCCCTTTGGGGGTCGAACGACCCTTTCACAGGGGTCGCCTAAGACCATCGGAAAACACATATATAATTACATATTGTTTTTGTGATTAATCACTATGCTTTAATTATGTTCAATTTGTAACAATGAAAATACATCCTGCATATCAGATATTTACATTACGATTCATAACAGTAGCAAAATTACAGTTATGAAGTAGCAACAAAAATAATTTTATGGTTGGGGGTCACCACAACATGAGGAACTGTATTAAAGGGTCGCGGCATTAGGAAGGTTGAGAACCACCGATCTAATCAAGGACACAGTAATACATTTTTTAAAGTTTTTATTTGTGTAGTTGGTATAAAATGTTAGGTTCAGGTGTTCAATGTAGTGATTCCACGTGTGCATTTCTTGCGAAGTGGCTGCCACACTCAGTGTGGTGACCGTCTGTCACAGGGCAAACTGATCGCGCTACCATCACTCCATCCCCCTCCTCCCTCCTGGCAGCCGGCCATTTGGTCTCTGTTTCTGTGAGTCGGGTTTTATTCCGTTTGTTTTGTTTTCTGAATTCCACATATAAGGGAAACCTAGGTATTTGTCTCTGGCTTGTTTCACTCAGTATAATACCCTCAAGGTCCATCCATGTGTTGCAGATGGCAAGGTTTCATTCTCTTTATGGGTGAGTCATAGTCCGTGTGTGTGTGTGTGACATCTCCTTTATCCATTCATCTATCAGTGGACAACTAGGTCGCTTCCATGTGTTGGCTGTTGTAAATAATGTTGCAATGAACATAGGGATGCATATATCTTTTTTAAAAAAATATTTTTTTATTGATTTCAGAGAGGAAGGGAGAGGGAGAGAGATGGAAACAGTGATGAGAGAGGATTATTGATCAGCTGTCTCCTGCACGCCCCCTCCTGAGGATCGAGCCTGTAACCCAGGCATGTGCTCTTGATCTGAATCGAACCCAGGACCCTCTATCCACTGAGCCAAAGGGGCTAGGGCCATGTATCTTTTTGAATTAGTGTTTTTGTTTTCTTCAGATAATTCTCAGACGTGGAATTGCTGGGTGATACAGTAGAATATTTGTTGGTTTTTGAGGAATCTCCACACTGTTTCCACAGAGGCTGCCCACCCTGCAGTCCCACCAGCAATGCACAGGGTGCCCTTTCTGTACATCCTCACCAGCACTTGTTTGTTGGCTTTTTGATAATAGCCATTCTGCCTGGTGTGAGGTGGTATCTCATTGTGGTTTTGATTTGCATTTCTAAAGGATTTCCACCAGATCGATTCAAGTTGACATTTGGAGACAGAAGGAAGCGGACTTCACTTTCTTTGCAAATCGTGTGGAACACAACCTTCCCTACCAACACTCGACCAGCGAAGCCTCTGCCGTTATTCGTTTATTTTTCCGCTGAAGTTGACTTCCAGGGTTGTTTCGTGTTGGCTTCATGTGGACAGCACGGTGGTTAGGCAGTCACATGCTCTCCAAGGTGCTCTCCCGATTCCAGTGCCCCCCGGGCACCAGGCATAGTCATTGCAATATTATTGACTAGACTCCCTGTGCTGTGCTTTACATGCCCGTGACTCTTCTGTTACTACCAATTTGTACTTCTTGACCCCTTCATCTCTTTCACCCAGTCCCCCCTTTTCTCGCCACCATCAGTCCACTCCCTGTGTCCTTGAGTCTGTTTCTATTGTGTTTGCTTATTTTGTTGGTGAAACCTTTTTTAAAAAATCTTTATTGTTGAAAGTATTATATAGGTCCTCTTTCCCCCCCATAAACCTCTTCCAGCCCACTCCTGTCCCCTCCCCCACAGGCCCTCACCACCCCATTGTCTGTGTCCACACATGCATATATGCATACAGGTTCATTGGTTGATCTCTTTCCACCCACCCTCCCCTGCCTTCCCTCTGCGTTTCAACAGTCTGTTCATGCTTCTATGACTCTGGATCTATTTTGTTCATCAGTTTATTTTGTTCATTAGATTCCACATATGAGTGAGATCATGTGATACTTGTCTTTCTCTGACTGGCTTGTTTCATTTAGCATGATACTCTCCAGGTCCCTCCAAGCTGTTGTGAATGGTATGAGTCCT